CTGGAATCAATCTCCTATGGATACTGAGTCTTGGCCTTTGTTGCTAGGCTCAATGAGGCTGGTATATGTCAGATAAAACTTAGTAGACTACTCTGAATCCCCTTAATGCACAAAGAGTGTCCTCAACCCAACACCCATCAGCCTGATGTTGGCAAATGGCCTTGATAAACTCTATTCCTGAACAATAGGAAGCATTTTGTTGTCCCGCAATTTCATACTGCAACACTAGCAGTAAAGATGTGCTCAAATCGGAATATTTTCAACTGTTCTCAGTTTTTAAAAGCCTGCATGCTGCTTTAGGAGCCTATTTATAAATGACTAGCACCTCTGAGCTGCTGCTATTGTGGTGTAAATTACTGAGAAGGATAGTACCCAGCTCCTCTCCCTTGTAATTTACATGAAATTGTTGCTTGGCAAGACAATTATCTGTAGTACCAGTAGATTAGGAGGATAAGGGAGAGCAGACAGAAAAAGAGGTAACAGAGGAAGATCTCATATAATCTGGCAAATAACACTTATTTATCATCCCAAAGGAATAACATCAGGAAGTTGGATGCATAAATTAGCTCAGATCCCAAGTTGTTCAGGCTCTGCAACTGGCAGTCATCTGGGCTACGTATGTTCTAAGCCTGACCTACCTTCCTTTATGAAAGAATCCTGAAATTGTATTTGAAGTGATTATTCTGATCATTATTAGGTGGACATGGCCTCTGAGTCCTCTGGACAGTTTGCTATATTTCTCATGCATAATCTTCTTTCACTACTTTTTAAAATAAACTGCTGCCTTTTAAATTTGTTTTAATATTATATAGGGATACTTCAAAAGGCTTATGTTAATTTTGGTGCACAAAATTTTGGAATCCATGTATAGTTTTTCATCCATGTGAGCTTTTTGATGGCCCCTTCATATTAGTACCAGTGACACAGGACAGTTGGGAACCCTGCATGTCCCACACCCCCACAGTCTCAGGAAGGTCCTTGGCTTCAGTAAGCCAACAAACTGAAAGCAAGAGAGTTTTATTAAAGAAAGTGGCAAAGAACAGGCTACTCCACAGACAGAGCAGCAGCACTATGTGCTGTTGGATTTCTACATTATAGGGGCCAGGAAACGTAAGTTTCTAGGCAGAATATTTATTTTATTTCTGGGAAAAGGTGACTGCCAGAAATTAGGGATCCATCTCTTTCCTCTCCTTATACTGTCATGTCATAGATTACCATGTCGACTGTAAACTGTCATGGGGCAAGAGGGAGTGTTTTTTGTTTTTGTTTTACTGTACTAATAATGCATTTCAATGAAAGTATAATGTGGCTGAGGTCAGGTGTGGACACCATGTTGGATCCAATTGATTTGAACCAGTTCCATTGCCTGAATCTTAAATTAGTAACCTTCACATCAAAATCTGTATGTCCAATTTTTTCTTGGAAAATGGCAAGAGCTGACAGTATGAGGAGCAGCTGTTACCTTTAGATGGGGCAGTTGCTCTCTAGTTTACCTCAATCTTCACCATTGTCTCCGTTGTCTGCCTTAAAGTACTAATAATACTTGCATGGCTCCTGGAGGTTTCTGAGTTGGCCATGTCTACCTTAGTGAGTTCTAAATGCATACACTGGCCCTTATGCAGATGGTGAGTAATCCAACGAGCCCTTGGTTTCCCTGGCACTCTCTTAGAGAGAAAGCAGTTTGTGCCCACTGTTCTCACTTTCTCCTTCTTTCCCTTCTTCCTTGCCTCCTGTCATTCACCTTCTCTTCCCTTCCATTTTTCTCTACATCTTAATGAAGCGAGTTAGAAGAAGACAGACTCACTAGCCATCACACTAGGCCTCACAGCTGACCCAGGGCTCCTAGAAATCCCAGGTAGAAGTGGTCAAGAAAGAAAAGAGAAGATAGCAGAGTTATGTTACCTGTTTTAATGCAGATGGACTGTCCTTAAGAACTCTTACAATAGTGGGTCCTTGGATATGCATAGGCTCAAAAGCTGGAGTCTTGAACCTTTTTTTTTTTAAGATTTATTTATTTATTTGAAAGGTAAAGTTACAGAAAGAAAAAGAGAGAGAGAGAGAGAGAATCTTCCATCTGCTGGTTCACTACCCAAATGTCCACAATGGCCGGAGCTGGGCCAATCCTGAAGCCAGAAACCAGGAGCATCTACTGGGTCTCCCACATGGGTGCTGGGGCCCAAGCAGTTGGGCCATATTCTGCTGCTTTCTGAGGCACATTAGCAAGGAGCTGCATCAGAAGTGGAGCAGGGTCCGGCGCCGTGGCTCACTTGGTTAATCCTCCGCCTGCGGTTCCAGCATCCCATATGGGCACGTGGTTCTAGTTGCGATTGCTCCTCTTCCAGTCCAGCTTTCTGCTGTGGCCCGGGAGGGCAGAAGAGGATGGCCCAAGTGTTTGGGCACCTGCACCCACATGGGAGACCAGGAAGAAGTACCTGGTTCCTGGCTTCGGATTGGCGCAGTGCCGGCTGTGGCGGCCATCTGGGGAGTGAACCAATGGAAAGAAGACCTTTCTCTCTGTCTCTCTCTCTCTCTCACTGTCTATAACTCTACCTGTCAAATAAATTAAAAAAAAAAAAAAAGTGGAACAACTGGAACTTCAACCGGTGCCCATTTGGGATGAGTTTGAAATATATATTCTTCATTTATGTGATATTTCTGTGTCACTGAAGAGTACTTTGATTGTTTCCACAATAACTAAAATTAGATGATAGGAATTTTGAAGAAATTTCTATCAGAATTTAAGTTCCTGAGGAAATACTATAAACCTATAAAACATGCTAAATGAAAGTGACCAGGTATGGTTCCTTACTCAGTGGCTACAAGGTAAAAGGCATGATAGGATGTGGAAGGGAAAAGTAAGTTTTCCCAGAGTGAGCATTTAGCCTGGTGGTTATAGATGCCTGCCCACTTAGGAGTGCCTGGGTTCGATACCCTGCTCAGGCTCCTGACTCCAGCTTCCTGCCAGTGGAAAGCCTGGGAGGTGATGGCTCAGTAATTGAGTTCATGCACTCATGTGGGAGACCCAAATTCAGTTCCTGGCTTCTAGCAATGGCCTGGCTCAGCACCAGCTGTTGGAAGTATTTGGGAAGTGAGCCAGTAAATGAGAATGTACTCTCTCTTTTCTCTCTCTCTCCCTTCCCACACACTCTATGACTCTCAAATAATTTTTTTTTTTATTTTTGGACAGGCAGAGTGGACAGTAAGAGAGAGAGACAGAGAGAAAGGTCTTCCTTTTTCCGTTGGTTCACCCTCCAATGGCCGCTGCGGCCAGCACATTGTGGCTGGCACACCGTGCTGATCTGAAGCCAGGAGCCAGGGGCTTCTCCTGGTCTCCCATGCGGGTGCAGGGCCCAAGCACTTGGGCCATCCTCCACTGCACTCCTGGGCCACAGCAGAGAGCTAGACTGGAAGAGGAGCAACGGGGACAGAATCTGGCACCTGACCGGGACTAGAACCCGGTGTGCCAGCACCGCAGGCAGAGGATTAGCCTATTGAGCCACGGCGCTGGCCTCAAATAAATTTTAAAAATATATTTTTAAATTTAAGTGAGTTTCCCAGTTGAAGAAATCACTTTCAAGGTTCATTCTTCATCCAGAATTGATATGTTAAATATCAATATAAAGATATGTTAAATAATAAATAAGCCAAATACTCTCTTCTTTAGAATAGTCAGAATACTAATATGGAAAACAGCAGGTCAAGCCATCATTTGGGATGCCCACAACCCTTTTTGGAGTCCCATCTGCACTTCCAATACAGCTTCCTGCTAATGTGTGCCCTGGAAGACACCAAATGATGGCTTAAGCACTTGGGCCCCTGCCACCTGCGTGGGAGACCTGGATTAAATTCTTAACTCCTTAATCTGGCCTGGTCCAACCCTGGCTGTTGCAGACATTTGGGAAGTGAACCAGCAGATGGAAGATTTTTCTGTCTCTCCCTGTGGATATAAGTAAATGAAGAAAAACATGATAATTTAGCATCTGAAGAAGAAAACATGGGTGATGTTATAAACAGTCAAAATGGAATAAAGCAATATATACCAATAAAGCTTTTCTTTTTAAAAGAAACTATTTTATTAATTTGAAAGAGTTACAGAGAGAGAGAGAGAGGTCTTCCATCCCACTGGTTCACTCTCTAAATGACCACTACAGCCAGAGCTGAGCTGATCCGAAGCCAGGAGCCAGGAGTCTTCTCTCAGCCTCCCAAGCAGGTGAGGGGCCCAAGGACTTGGGCCATCTTGTACTGCTTTCCCAGGCCATAGCAGAGAACTGGATCAAAAAAGCAGCAGGGACCTGAACCGGCACCCATGTGGGATGCCCGTGCTACAGGTTGGGGCTTTAACTCACTGTGCCATAGCTGCGGCTCCCAATAAAGCTTTAACTAATTGTAGTGTCTGGATTGAAACCCACAAAGAATCTCTAAAATATTATTTGGTAATTTATGTCAACCTCCTTTCAACAAGGTAAGTAACAAGTGTCTGAACTAACTTCCCCCTGTGAAAACACCTATTCATCCTTCAAGACCCAACTCAAGTGTCACTACCCCTGACAACTCAAGCCCTTTCAGTTCCTAACCTCTCTGGGCAGTTGAATGTTCCCCCTCTAGGTGCTCATAATACTCTCAGTCTGTTTCTGCTTTAGGACTTACCACAGTTGCCATGACTTTAGGAAATCTAAAACCTCTCCAAAGCAGGGATCGTTGTTTACTCATCTTTTACTTCTTGCCTCCTACCTTTGCCCAATGGAGTCACACACAAGTAAAGTACTAAATAAGTGTTGGATGAAATAATGAAAATAACACTTTCCTTTCCTTCTGCTCTGTCCAGTCAGAGAGGTTAATGAAAGTGTGAAAGGAGAAGCAAGAGAGGGTCAGAATAATGTGCCAAGTACTTTGAGTAATCTCTTACTGGGCACATTTCAAGTATTTTGAATGATTTAGCAGCAGTTTTCTTTATTATGATTTCTTCCGGAACTTTATTTGGATTTTAAAAACTCTTCTAGGGCAATGCAATTGGTCTTCATGGACTTGGTCTTCTCTATTTTTATGGAAAAGGGGTTCCTGTGGTAAGTTAAATAATTTAATTTTCTTTTCCATGTGTTTCTTGGAATTTATAAAGTAAAATTCATGGTAATTCATTAGTTTAAAGGAATTAATCTATATTACCTGGTTTGCTAGACTATTATATCTGATAAGAGAATAAGTAATCCAGTAAAATCATTGTCAGAGGCACATAGAACAAGCTTAGGATAGGAGTAGCAAAGCTAATTATATCTTAGAATCATAGATTCTATGTAACCTTAGAAATCATTTATCCCCTGAAGATTCATTAATAGAGAATTTTTTCTTCTTAGTTTAACCTTTGTCTTTTGGGTGACCTTCCCTTAATGTGCAACAAAACCTGTCAATGTAGAAAAAGACATAATTTACAGTGAAAATGAAATAATTATCTCCTAATAGAACCTAACATAATAATAAAATAAAATATATAGTATTTCTCGTACTGTTTTAATTAGCCTGAATCACATAGGGCATTGATGACACTCTTTTTTGGGGGAAAAAAAAAGGAAGGTAATTGTTACCATGGAGTTATACATAGAACTTTGAATAATACAGTGTAATTATCTTGCAGAATTATGCTGAAGCACTTAAATACTTTCAGAAAGCTGCAGAGAAAGGATGGCCCAATGCACAGTTCCAATTAGGCTTCATGTACTACTGTAAGTGCTACAAATATGACTGCCTTATTTAGAGTAACATACATATTATTAAGTCTGCTCCTCTGGTAACAAAAATCAAAGGGCTGTTGTGGTTTAGATAAAACAAGCAGCAATTTGAAGAGGAATTTGAAGAATAAAGGAAAGAACAGCAGTTGACAGGAGGGGACAGGGAGGTACAGAATCAGGAAGCTTACTTGTTAAAGAAAGGTGGTTTTTGTTACCTATGATATTCAGTGCACATAACTGGAAGCAAATATGAAACTCACAAGGTCAGTCTTAGAAAGGTTTGGGAGGCATCAACATATAGGTGCTAGTAGGAGTAGCTGAGGTTGCAAAGAGAAAAGAGAAAGAGTGTAGGAGGAAAGGAGGAAAGAACAGTGTGCCACGGTCAGTGTCATAGTGAAAGGATAGGTAGAGGAAGAGCAGTCATCATAAGGAATGAAAAAAATGGTGAGAGGAATAGGAAAAAATAATGATCTTTTTACAGAATGTTTTAAAATTTTATTTAAGTTATGTGAGTTTCATGTCTTACATGTGTACAGATTTAGGAATATAGTAATACTTCCCCCCATCCTCCCTCCCACCCAGACTCCAACTCTTCTTCTTCCCCTTCTTACATACCCACTCCTAATTTTTACAAAGATCTATAGATCTATTTTCAGTTTACTTAATGATTGTAGAGTTAACCCTACACAAAGTAAGAGTTGAAGAAAAAAAAATACTTTATCAACAGAAGAGACAAGAACTATAAACAATCATTGAATCTTAAAATGTCCATTTCACTCCAATACATTATTTTTTAGGTACTCTGTTAATTACCTCGGATCAAGGAAAACATAAGATATATCTGTCTTTCTGGAACTGGCTTATTTCACTAAGAAAAATAATGATCTAAGAGTGTCAAAGGAAGTGGAACTTTCAAGAAAGAGTGAATGAATGAGCAGCCCCCCTGTGAAATGTAGTGAGAAATTCAAAGTTTTTTGTTTATTTATTTTGTTTGGTTTATTTATTTGAAAGTCAGAGTTACACAGAGAGAGGAGAGGCAGAGAGAGAGGGAGCGAGAGAAGAGAGAGAGGTCTTCCATCCACTGGTTTATTATCCAAATGGCTGCAACAGCCAGAGCTGCACTGATCTGAAGCCAGGAGCTTCTTCCAGGTCTCCCACGTGGGTTCAGAGGCCCAAGGACTTGGGCCTTTTTCTACTGCTTTCCCAGGCCATACATAGCAGAGAGCTGGATGGGAAGTGGAGTAGCCACAACTAGAACCGGCACCCATATGGGATGCTGGCATAACAGCAGCGGCTTTACCCATTACTCCACGGTGCCAGCCCCTGTTTTGCTTGGTTTTTAAAAGAGGGTAAAAAAAGGATACATTATCCATGAGACTTGGCAATATGGAGAATATTGGTGAGGTTACTGGACTGGTTAGAGTGCAAGCCATATGACAGTCAGTTAGGGTGTGAATGGAAGATGAGGAAGTAGATGAATTAAAAATATTATTTCGGGGCCAGCACTCCTGGCTCCTGGCTTCAGATTGGCACAGCTCAGGCCATTGCGGCCAACTGGGGAGTGAACCATTGGATGGAAGACCTCTCTCTCTCTCTCTCTCTCTCTGTCTCTCCTCTCTCTGTGTAACTCTGACTTTTAAATAAATAATCAATCTTTAAAAAATATTATTTCAAAAAGAAAAGGAGATAGATGGAATTGCTGCTCGAGGAAGATAAAGAACAAAGTAGGAGTTCACTTTAAGATGGTGAGAGACCAGAGCATAACTATAATTGAGGAAAAGAGGTTGAGGCTCTGGGAAAAGTTGAAGATATTAGAATCTAACTGGGCCCAGGTAGGTGAGAACAGTCTTGAGGAAGAGGTGAGATTTCTCACCCTAGAAAACTGGAGAAAGGGAGGAAGGCATAATTCAAATGTTAATATGAAGGATTGGAGAGAGAGAAGTGAAAAAAGGCAGTGCAGGGTTCTCCTCAATGATCAAGTAGGTACAAAGTTGCTTTCTGAGAGCAAAGGTACAGTACTTGGAGTAGAAAGTCTCAGAGAGCCATGTAGGTTTGTAATAATCTTTGCGGTGACTGAGAGGGTGTGGCCAAGACAAGTATAAGGACATACCTGAACATACCTGAGTATCCCCACCAAGTCTTTCATGTCAGAGGTGGAGCCAGGGCAGCAGCCTACTGCATCATCAAGGAGATCAAATCTGGTCCCAGAGGTCAGTTGACAATTTTTTAAAGATTTATTTATTTATTTAAAAGACAGAGTTAGAGAGACAGAACAAGAGAGAGAGAGGTCTTCTATCCACTATTTCATTTTCCAAATGGCCACAATGGCCAGGGTTGAGCCAGGCTGAAGTCAGGAGCCTGAAAACTACATCTGGTTCTCCCACATGAATAGCGGGGCCCAAGCACTGGGCCATCCTCCACTGCCTTCCCAGGCACATTTAGCAGGGAGCTGGTTTAATAGTGGAGCAGCCAAGACTTGAACCTGTGCTCGTATGGGATGCCTGCTTTTGCAGGCAGCAGCTTAATCCACTGCTCAACAATACCAGCTTCCAGCTGACAAGGTTTATAGTGACCAGTAGGAGAATCTGTTTTGTACTGTCACAGGGGTTAGGATGTGCCTAAGATGGCCTTGTGCCTCAAGTTCATTCCAAGTCATGGCTCAGGATCTATCAGATTTCTCAAACTTCTAGAATAGGAGCTGTAGTACTGTGTAATATGTATTAAATCTTTTTGTGTTTTAGTCATTGAGTCCTCTCAACACATTGAGGGAGCGTCCATGATTTATAGATGAGCAGATTGAGCCATGTTGATGTCAGACATCTTATCCAAGAACACATAGTTGGTGGAAGTGAGATTTAAATTCTAGCAATCTGCTTCCAAAGTTTTGCTCTTAGTCACTACATGGCACTGTCTCTAATAGGCCATCAAATGTTAGAGCTGGAAAGGAATTTAAAGACCATCTAGGGAAAGCTTCTTTCTTTTGCAAATGAAGTGCCTGACAGGCCTCACTCACAAAAGGAGATAGGATGAGAAAAAGAGATAGGATGAGAATCCCTACTGCTGGGAGTCTGTGATTCTCTGACCCAGTGCCAATGCCTCTCCTTGCTCCAAGCATGATTTGGGTCAGAGCTGGGTTTCCTGGAGCTAGGATTTGCCTGCTCTATGCTTCATGGTTGTAGCTGCAAGGAACTTAACTGGTCTCCTGGTGTAGAGATATGTCAAAGATGGCCAGATGATCCTGGGGTGGAGTGGGGGTCTTTTGTTCCTCAGAGACCACTACTTCTTCTCTTTTTCGTTTACTTTAGTTGTGCCATATTGAAGATATGAAGGTACTGCCAAAAATTGTGGGGAGATGGGCACTTAACCTAGTAATTAAGATGCCTGTGTGTCATAACAGAGTACCTGGGTTCAATACCCAGCTGTAGCTCCTGACTATAATTTTCTGCTAAGACATCGGAGACCTAGAATGAATTCCGGATTCCTGGCTTCAACCTAGCCTACCCTGGGTCTTTGAGGTCTTTTGGAAGTCAACAATAAATACATGGGACCTCTCTCTGTTCTCCACTCAAAAAAATTTTTTTTAATTTTACTAAATTTATTATGAGGAAGATATGCATGTCTTTCAAAAATTTGAGGACTAGAATCAACTTATCTTTTAACTACATTATTCCATAAACTTCTCAACATAACCTCATGTTTTCATGAGAATAGTGTTTTTTTCTTAGTTTTCCAAAAGGGTAAAGATCATATATTTCAGGGCCAGCATTGTAGCATAGCAGGTAAAGTCACCACCTGCAAAGCTGGCAATCTATATGGGCTCCAGTTTCCCAGCTGCTCCATTTCTGATCCTGCTCTCTGCCAATGGCTCAAGAAAAGCAGCCAATGATGGCCAAGTGTATGGGCCCCTGCTACCCAGAAGAATTTTCTGGCTCCTGGTATTGGCCTGACTCAGCCCTGTCTATTGCAGCCATCTAGGGAGTGAAATAGCAGTTGCAAGATCTGTTTCGGCCTCTCTCTATAACTCTGTCTTTCAAATAAATAAATAAATATTTTAAAAAAATAAAGTGTTATCTATTTATTTTAAAATGCAGTTACAGAGAAGGAGGGATGGCAGAGAAAGAGAGAGAGAGAGAGATCTTTCATCTGCTGGTTCCTTCCTCAAATGGTCAAAACAGCCAGATCTTGGTTGATTTGAAGCCAGGAGCCAGGAGTTACTTCCAGGCCTCCCGCGTGGTGCAGGGACCCAAGCACTTGGACCATCTTCTTCTGCTTTCCCAGGTGCATTAGCAGGGAGCAGGATTGGAAGTGGAGCAGCTGAAACCTAAACTGGTGCCCATATGGGATGCCAACATACCTGCTACCCCACACTGCTGGTCCCTCAAATAAATTAATAAATCTTCTTTAGAAAAACAAGATTGTACATTTCCACATATTTACTTATAACAAAACTCAACTTTTCACCCTCAAGTAGTGGATTTTGAACACCTTTACTAGGGGTTGGTTTTCCCATCCTATTTAAGCTAGCAGGCATTCACTATGACTATTATATCCATAGATTATAACATAAAAAATAAGATGAATGACTCAAAATAATCTTAATTTTCAGCTGGCTCTGGAGTCTGGAAGGATTATAAACTCGCCTTCAAATATTTTTACCTGGCATCTCAGAGTGGGCAGCCCCTCGCCATTTATTATCTGGCTGAGATGTATGCAACAGGAACAGGAGTGTTAAGATCATGCAGAACTGCTGTGGAGGTAAAAACTGGGCAGTTTTTAAAGTACTTTTTTCATTTGTCACACAGAGGAGGTAATAGTATCCTTAAACTGATGGTGCCTTTGATTTTATAGATATTACCTCTTTTCTTCCAGTTTGCAATGTGAATGCTGACATCCTCCAGAGAGGATAAACAGTGATGTAACTCTGGGAAAAGGAGAAAGGAAATGATCCCCGCCCTGCCCTGCACCCCCCTGCAATCCCCGCATTTGACTTTTCGTCAAGGGCAGAGTTTGCCTCAGAATTCAGTTAAGGAGCTCTGTTTTAGCTTTCAATCAAATCACCAGAGAAATTTGGCACTTCTAGTGGGACTGAGAGATGCTACTTGGGAAAGGCAAGGCTTGATGTAGTCTAGAAGATGTTGCCCACATTTCCCAGAAAGCAAGGTCCTTATGTTTTTGATGATTTGGATGAAAATGGAGAAAGTGTATTCTTTCAGCATGAGCCAGTGATGTATGTTTCAAAAGAATGCTTTTAGGACCTTAATGCCCTTCATTGATTTATTAAACATATCCGCCACACCAATATAAATACCTCTGTGTTGGGATCTGGTCCTTCTGAAACTCATTTCAAAAGCTGACAGCTAATAATCTATCTTTAGATTTGCTCCTTCGCCAACTTCCTAATGAATTATGTATGGCTAAGCTCTTCTGGTTACATAAGGGCTATTCAGCTCAGTTGACATTTGTCCCCGTGGAGCTCTGCACACCTCCCTTGCGGTTATGTCACCTACACCCTCAGGCGCTGTCTTCCCTTCATTTTCTCCTTTCACGTCAGCTGTGGCCTTGTAACTTGCCCTTGCAGAGCAGCAATGCCCAGAAAGGCCCTTAAAAAAAAAAAAGAAAGAAAATGTAAGTTGATAACATTTCTGTCCTGCCAGATAGCCTCCAACCCAAGAAAGTTTATCACAACCTTTAAAATAAGCTGAGGAAATTCCACACAAGAAAAAAAAATGCACTGAAAATTTCTGTGCCTCTGAAAAAAATGAACTCCTCACCCTAAATAATTTGCAAACACCATGTTTTAGACCTAAAATCCTTGCCTGAACAGCCAGCAGGAGCTGAAGATTGATTTCATTTATCATTTACTTAAGATGAAGTATGTTGGCTAACTACTCTGCTTGATTTCTCTTCCCACATACAGCTTTATAAAGGTGTCTGTGAACTAGGCCACTGGGCTGAGACATTCCTGACAGCTTACTTTGCCTATAAGGATGGTGATATAGATTCTTCTCTTGTTCAGTATGCACTGCTTGCAGAAATGGGGTATGAAGTAGCTCAAAGCAATTCAGCATTCATTTTGGAATCTAGTAAGATAAGTTAAAATTCTCTGCAATTTTCCAATCATACATATGCATATGTGACTTTACTACAGAGACATTTTAAGCCTTACTAATGGAATGTCTCCTTTTTTTAGAAAAGGCTAAAATTCTTGAAAAAGAAAAGATGTATCCAATGGCACTTCTCCTGTGGAATCGAGCTGCCATTCAAGGTATAGAACCTAGATAAAAATAAGCACAAACCTGGTTCCCTGTCCAGAACTATTCATCTGATTGGATTCAGCTATGTTCCTGGGCAGATAGGTACGAAGGGGCAGGATATCAAGTAGGTGACATTTGAAACTACACTAATGTTAGACATCATTCCAGGAACTTATTTTCTTCATTATTCTTGAGGTCCCTGGCTAAGCAAACCATAGGAATTATTCAGGAGTTTTTTGAAATACGGCAATTTTACTCAAGAAACCTGTGTTTTTGTTTTTTTTTTTTTTTTTGGTCTGTCTTTAGTAAGTTATTTGCTGAGTTGTTTACTGAAATAATCTGAGATGTGACCTATATCTCAATTAGTTAATAGAATTATTTATGTATTTGAAAGGCAGAGTGACAGCAAGCGGGGGAAGGAGGGAGGGAGAAAGGGAGAGGTAGAGTGGGAGAGGGAGAAAGAGAGGTATTCTGTCTACTGGTTCACTCCTCAAATGCCCACAACTGCCAGAAGGTAGACCAGGCAAAACTCAGGATGTCAGAACTTCACCCAAATCTCCCATGTGCGTGGCAGGAACCCAAGTACTTGGCCATCATCAGCTGCCTCCCAGTTGCATTAGCAGGAAGCTAGATCAGAAGCATAGAGTAGCTGGAATAGGCGCTCTGATATGGAATGTGAGCAATCCCAAACAATGCAAACACCATGCTTTAGACCTAAAATCCTTGCCTGACTAGTCAGCAGGAGCTGAAGATTGATTTCATTTATCATTTACCTAAGATGAAGTATGTTGGCTAACTACTCCACTATATGGCCGCCCCATAAGAGAATTATTTATGTATCTAAGACTCACTTTATTTCTCTTTTGAAAATCACATTGGTGAATACCACAAACTTTATGTTTGTATGTAAATATTAGAGTGTTAAAATCAAAAACAAACAAGATAAATGACAATACTCTCTCCCTTTTTTGGAATTTTCATGCCCTGCTTATTGGGATCACGTGTGATGAATATAAAACAGCATTGGTGGGGAAAGCAATGGAAGATGGCATTTGAGTAACTGTGTCTTTTTCTATTTTTTCCCCTAAAATTATATTATTAAAAGCAGAGAGATATTGCAAAGCTGTCACAGTTGGCATTTGGATATATGAGGAACTCTCTTGCAATAAGAAAGCAATTTTGTTTCCAATTAGGTTTCTTAAAATCATCTCATGATGAGGCCAAATCATCCCTCTTCCCAGGAAGTGAATAGGATAAAAAATGATTCTCATCTGATGCTAATATGTGGCAGGGGAAATAGTTGCAGTGGTGCCTTCTGAGATCCAGCAGAGCTGGTAATGCAGCAGCAACCCATCAATGTGATTTTAGTGAGAAATTCCCTTTACAAAGGTCTATGTTTTCTAAAATGCAATAAAGACCTTATTTGGAGTGAGGAAACAATGCCAGCAATCTCTAAGCCATGGAAAATCAGCTCAACTGCAACAAAAGCGGGTTTATTCCAAGCCAGGAAATGGTGTAGAAATTACACTGAGGGAAAGAGACATAAAATGAGAGGATTTTAATATTAAACAGAATTCCCCAATATAAAAAAGTCAGGCCACTAAAAATAATTATGTGTCACCAGAGAGGTTAAGCATTAGTATCCCCAAAGATAGGGCTACTGAGTGGCTCACTTGGGATTAGGAAATCTAATAATGAAATTTTCCAGTTATTCACTGTCATGCTCCTTTTAGAAGCTGCTGCTGTGAAGAGGGTGCTGAATGGTCAGGAGTCATTCACCACACCATGACTGTGAATTGAAATACAAATCTCTGCCCTGTAAATTGATCCCCTAGGGAGCCTGCCAGAATCCCCACCTGCCCCACAGTCAGTCCTCCTCATTAGGCTAGAACTGAATCCTCACACGAACCAGCTTGTTCACTGCTTTCCATCTTAGAGACTTCAAGGATTCTGCTTATAGCTTGTAAAGCTTGAAAATGCACAGAAGGCCAGCGCCATGGCTCACTAGGCTAATCCTCCGCCTTACAGCGCCGGCACACCGGGTTCTAGTCCCAGCCGGGGCACCGGATTCTGTCCCGGTTGCCCCTCTTCCAGGCCAGCTCTCTGCTATGGCCAGGGAGTGCAGTGGAGGATGGCCCAAGTGCTTGGGCCCTTCACCCCATGGGAGACCAGGATAAGCACCTAGCTCCTGCCATCGGATCAGCCATCTGGGAAGCAAATCCTAATAACCAATATCTTTGTCAGCTTCAGGATTTTATGTCAAAATTTAGTTCTCAGAAAGAGCTAAAGATGGCTCATAGTATTACATCTATTAGAAGTGTCTGCGTTTTGGCTGGCGCCGCGGCTCAATAGGCTAATCCTCCACCTTGCAGTGCCGGCACACCGGGTTCTAGTCCCGGTCAGGGTGCCAGATTCTGTCCCAGTTGCCCCTCTTCCAGGCCAGCTCTCTGCTGTGGCCCGGGAGTGCAGTGGGGGATGGCCCAAGAACTTGGGCCCTGCACCCCATGGGAGACCAGGAGAAGCACCTGGCTCCTACCTTTGGATCAGCGCGGTGCGCCGGCTGCAGCGCGATGGCCGCGGCGGCCATTGGAGGGTGAACCAACGGCAAAAGGAAGACCTTTCTCTCTGTCTCTCTCTCTCTCACTGTCCACTCGTGCCTGTCAAAAAAAAAAAAAAAGTATCTGCGTTTTAATATGAGATTCTAAAAGATTATAAGAACTTCAGTATCTAGAGAAATAAATCCCATAGGAATATAAGCGATGAACTAGCCCAAATTGGGAGAAAATTTTGAAAGGAGTCCTGTATCACTTAATGATACACTTCAGACCATACCTCACTAGGTACTTTCTGTTTTTTCTAAGTAAGGCTAAACTGTGCTAGCAGGGTTGGCTAGAGTAGAGATGAATGAGTTCATGAATGTCCTCTTATCTTTTCAACCATCATTCTAGTGAATGGAACTGCAGATCCAAGGAGCTCCTTAGAGGTAATTCTAAGTGCCCTCTAAAGACTGAAATCTCATTTTTAAAACATCTCATGACTTCCTACTTGACATATCCATGTTTGTTAAAAAGTAATGTTCTAAATTATGTAACATCATGGGAAAGCATTTTCCCAAGTTTCCTACTATATCTATCCATTCATTCCATAAATATTTATCAAGTGCTATGTTAGCTTTTGGACTATATAAATGATTAAGAACCTCAAAGTTCTTTTCCTAATTGCAGCTCCTAGGGAGCTCATGGAGCCATCATGGGGAAGAGAGAAAATACACTAGTCAGCAAACAAGATAATAGGGATATGTAATAACATGGAGATGGAATAGAGGACTATCAGCATGGGGGCTGAGGAGATACTTTAGATAACATAGTTAGACAAGACCTCTAGGAGATAACTGACAAAATAAGAAAGCAACATACTGGCTAGCACCGTGGCTCAATAGGCTAATCCTCCGCCTTGCAGCGCCGGCATACTGGGTTCTAGTCCCGGTCGGGGTGCCGGATTCTGTCCCAGTTGCCCCTCTTCCAGGCCAGCTCTCTGCTGTGGCCCGGGAAGGTAGTGGAGGATGGCCCAGGTCCTTGGGCCCTGCACCCTGGTATGGGAGACCAGGAGAAGCACCTGGCTCCTGGCTTCTGATCGGTGCGGCGCCAGCCGCGGGGGCCATTGGGGGGTGAACCAATGGCCAAAGGAAGATCTTTCTCTCTGTCTCTCTCTCTCACTCTCCACTCTGCCTGTCAAAAAAAAAAAAAAAAAAAAAAGAGAGAGAGAGAGAAAGCAACATACAATGAGGTTAGTTGAAGAGACAGGACACAGATTAGCATGACTTGTAGGTCAGGAAAAGAGTCTGGATTTTATTCCAAGTGCAAAGTGAAGCCATTGGGGGATTTTATACAGGGCAACAATGGGATTTGATTTGACATTTTAAAATTATTACCCTAGTTATTAGGTGGAAGATGCATAGAAAAATAGACATACAGGGCCAGCGTTGTGTCACAGCATGTTGAACCACTGCCTGCAGCAACAGCATCCCATATGAGCACTGATTCAAGTCTCTACCACTTCTCTTCCAATCCTGGTCTGGGAAAGCAGCAGAAGATGGCCCAAGTATTTGGGTCCCTGCCACCCATGTGGGAGACCCAACAGAAGCTCCTGAATCTTGGCTTCAGCCTGGCCCAGCCCCAGTGGTTGTGGCCTTTTGGGAAGTGAACCAACAAATGGAAGACCTCTCTCTATCTCTTTGTTTCTTTCTGTCTCTCCCTCTCTCTCTGTAGAGAAAGAGACAGAGAGAGAGAGAGGTCTTACACCCGCTGGTTCACTCCCCAAATGGCCAAAATGGCTGGAGCTGAGCTGATCCAAAGCCAGGAGCCAGGAGCTTCCTCCATGTCTCCCATATGAGTCAGGGACCCGTGGATTTGGGCCATCCTCCACTGCTTTCCCATTTATATCAGCAGGGAGCTGGGTCAGAAGTGGAGCAACCAGGACTCCAACCAGCACCCATATGGGATGCCTGCACTGTAGGCCGGGGCTTTAACATGCTACTCCACAGTGCTGGCCCCACTAAATCTTTAGAAAAGGAAAGTAGACATAGAGCAGTTTATGGAGTGGGTACTATGACACAGCAGTTTAAGCCACCACTTATGATACCCACATCCCATATCAGAGTCCTGGGATTCAGTTCTCCTTCTCCTCATCCTCCTCCTCACTCCTCTTCCTCACACACTACGCCACAATGCCAGCCCCTCCACCACTACTGATCCAGCTTCCTGCTAATGTTGATCCTGGAAGGCAGCAGATGAGGACTCTAGCACTTGGGTTTCTGCCACCCATGTGGTTGACCTAGATGAAGTTCCTGGTTCCTGACTTCTATCCAACCTGGTTATGGCTGTTGTAGTCACTTGGGGTATGGACCAAAAGATGGAAGTTCTGTCTCTCCCTCTCTGTTTGTTACTCTGCCTTTCAAATACTAATTTAAAAAGTTTAGCAAAGGTATTTAAAATAGTAAAAAGAAAATCTAAGGGTATTTAATATTCTGTGCTTGAACTAGATGGTGGAGATGTCAAGATAGTTGAATTTTGGAGGTAGACCCAATGGAGTTTGCTTATGGATAGTGAAGATGAGAGAAAAAGAACTAAGAATTAATTCCCCTAGATTTATTATACGAATAATGGTGGTACTAGTGTTGAAATAGGGAAGAAACTGAGAATTTTATTTGAGGGAAGGAGTAAAGGATAAGAAATCTCATTAGGTATTTTAGGTTTGAGATACAAATAAAGAAATAAAATAAGAGTCTGGGTCTCAAGGAGAGATAGGACAGTAGATATAAATTCAGGAATAGTTAGCATAAAACTATCCATGGAACCAGATAAGGTCTCTTTGAGGTGGAGGAGAGTGATAGAGGAGGAGAGAGAGAAGAGAAAGATGAAAAGGGAAAAAGGAGTTAGGAACAAGTCCTTGGCATTCCAAACTTTAGAACTGATGAGAGCAAATAAATAAATGAATAAACAAATATTTTTTAAAGTAGCAACTGTGTAGAGGAGTCAGACAGTTTAAAAATCAGAAGCCTATGAAGTAAGAGGGACATCACAAGAATGCAATGCCATTGGTGTCAAGTGAAGATTGTGCTTGGGCAGGTGGGTCCAAATATTCCAATGCTTCTCAGAAGTCCAAAAAGATGAGGACAGGAAGTAGCCAATGAATTTGGTGAATAGATGTCATCAAACACCTTGGAAATAGGTTCAGGGGAGCTGCCAGAAGCTAAGCTGTCGTGGGTTGGGTTGAAGAGTGTGTGGAAGTACCTGAACATGTTTGAATAACTGATGGGCTTAATCTGGGAAAGAGGAAGAAACTGGTGATGCAGAAGAGTAGAGCTTCAGGAATGAAATCTTAGAGTGGCAAGGGTGTGGTCCAACTTTCCAAGAGTTAACCTACCTTAAAAAAATGGAATTAAAAGGTAGAATTTCTAATTTTTGTTAAGAATGTATTTATTATATCACAGGTTATCCCACAGTAAAGGCAGCTATCTAGCATTGTTATACTTTGTATTCCATAAAGTACATCTAGTCTGATTCTAGGATTCTGAGTGGCTTTTTTTTCTACACACACACACACACACACACACAAACAACTTTTAAAGGTCATTAAGTTGACTTACAGGGAACTATACATGAATCATTTGAATTATGACCTTTTTTTTTCAAATATTTCCATCAGGTAATGCATTTGCTAGAGTAAAAATTGGAGATTACCATTACTATGGCTACGGGACCAAGAAAGACTATCAAACAGCAGCCACTCATTACAGCATTGCAGCTGACAAGTACCACAGTGCACAAGCCATGTTCAATCTGGCCTATATGTATGAACACGGCTTGGGTATTACAAAGGTAATTGTGTTGGTAGTGGTTCAAACTTGTGTGGGAAGGGAAAATTTATAAATGTTTTAAATTTCATTAATGTCATCAATGTAGAGCATGGGTGGGGAACCTTTTTCCTGCCAAGGGTCTCTTGGATATTTATAACATCATTCACAGACATACAAAGCTATCAGCTGAAAGCCTGGTACAGATGTGTTGAATTTCAAGATCCATCTATGGTTGCCGTAGCAGGGCCAGACCGAATAATTTCATGGGTTGAATATTCTACAACCCTGAAGAGGAAGGAAGGAAAAGACTTAGCATCTGTTGAAGTCTCTCCTATGTCCCAACATATACTACTTAACCAAACCTGTATTACTTACCCTGATATAAACCCTATGAGGTAGATATTGTTTTCTGCATTTTTTCCAAAGATGTAATTAATGAGTAGAAGGCTGATAGTCTAATCTAACTTGATTCGTAAGTTTCTACTTTTTCTAGCACATACTTTTTCCAGTGGGCCCTACCTCCAGGCCTTTTTTTCCACTAAAATTTCCACATTTTCAAATTTTCACAAGCTCTTGGTAACAAGGAAGAACTGGATACACCCACTATGTACATGATACTATCCTGGGCCCTCTAGAAAGGCCCAAGAGAATGGATCTCCTTTTTCTCAGGATTATACTTGACTTGAGAAGATTCATTAAGAAAAAGTTAACACTACAAGGTGATATTAGGTAAATCCCTTTGACACTGAGTATAATTAGGCAGAAGATAGCACGGGGATCAGAAATGGCGAGAAAAGTATATTAAATATCAATAATGAGATGTTGTTAGGAGATGAGGTGAACCCTATAATTGTCCTCAGTGTATGCATCAGGAAACCACAGTACAGAGAAGTCATGGGTCCAGTTTGCAGTGCTTATCGATGGTGGAACCAAAATTTCTACCCTAGCCTGTCTGTCTCCTGTTTTGTGGGGATGGAAGCATAGAATAGGCTCTGCTTGAGTCATTCTTAGTGCTCAAAAATGTTTCTCTTCAAAGTTTGTATTCCTGGCTGCATTTCTTCCTCTCCTCCTCTTCTTCTATTTCCTCTTCCTCTTCCCACCCTCTTCCCCTCCCTCTTCTCCTTCTTTCTTCTCCTCCTCCCCCACCTCCCATAGGGGATGCCATCATTGCAGGCAGCAGCTTTACCTGGTATGCCACAACACCGGCCCCTCCTGGCTGCATTTCAAGAGCCAAATAATGTGGAAATCATTGGCTTTTTATGCTCTCTTCTCTCTTCCAGTTGTGCTAGTAATTGAGAATTACTGAAAATTGCTAATAGTGCACACTGCAGCCTATGGCTTCTTATTCAGTTACTAAAGATCCCGTGGTGGAAGTCCCTGCTATCCTCTTCTCTCTTGTAGCCTACCTTTTGGCTGATCTTTTTTGTTATCCCCAGTCCATTTTCCCCATTCTTAGCAGGTATGAGCTACAAGAGTTTGTAAAATCTGGGGGAGAATGGGACTGGACAGAATTGAATGATTCTTTGCGTGTTTCTTAGCCACCCCATGACCCCTCTGTCATCCACATCAGTAAAACAGAACTAATGATATCTGTCCTGCCCCGGCCTTTGAGGATAAAATGAGTGAGTCTTTGTGGAAAGGCTTTGTAGTCAAACAGTGTGTGGAATGATTGTTATTTAGATCAGAAGGGAATTTGAGTAACTGCTAAGTAAGGTTTCAACAAGATTAAAGCTTTTATTCATCATTCCCCATGCAAAACATAATAATGTGAGAGAAGCATTGTCTATAGAAAGGATACAATGACTCCATTCCATGTGTTAAATTCACATTAGCGTTCTCACTCTCATGTGATGGAAGAAGGATTAGGGCCCCCTGACAGCTGCATCCTCACTGCCATGAGTCCCTGGGTGTGGGAAGAGGCGTCCTCAGAGGGCACGTGGCCGTCAATGCAGGAAAGGACACACAGCCTGCCAGCACCCAGCTGACCCCTTATGTAAGAAAGGTTAGTGTTCCTCCTTGGAGTCACCATCTTTCTGTCTTCTAGGCATTTTGTTTACTAGCAGTCATTAAAACATCCATTTCATACATTCAGAAAAAAAAAAAAACAACACAACTTTGGAACTTCTCTCTGGTCATCTTCCTGTTCTCTTCTGCCAGGGTTCCTACTTCATCAGGGACAGTCAGTCCGTTTTGATAAGTCTCTGAGTTGCAAGCACATTTTTTTCCTACATAAATTCTTTACATTTAAAAATGCTCTTAATCTCAGATCTGGATATGAGAATTTTAGGTTTTGCTAATTAGGGACTGTTGCTCTTGGTCTTTACTAATTCCTTCTGTTTAGCAATTAGAAAAATAACAGAGTGTCCAGGGGCAACATTTGTTAACCTTGCTGTGTCACAGTCAAATTAACAAGAAGGCATCGCCTTTTCTAATTCTTAAAATGGATATCCTGACAATTAAAAGCCCAAAACTTGTTTCAATTAAAGCAAAGAGGTTAGGAGAATAGGCCACCCCAGTATTTGTCATCAAGTAATTAAGCGTTCCTTCAACAAAGCTCTTCAGTATCCTCTTTATTAGTTAATCCTCAGGCAAACTATGGAGCAGGATGAGTGTAATATAATTTCCATTTCTCTAAGAATCAAAGAAGATGATATGGAATCATGTTTTATAAGTTCTCCATTTAAGACTTCTGCAAAAGAAAGTGAGGCATAAATCAACTCTTGGTAAATCAATGTAAAAATATGGGTCATGCTCTCTCTGTCTTTAGAAAAGGAAGTTGTTACAAGGTGATGAGTTGTTACTAGGGTGAGTTATCCTGAGAGTGTCACTGAGAACCATGTCAGTTCAGTGAGCTCCTTGACTTAAACTGCAGGCCAGAACTGACTGCATCATTGTTTTGGGAAACAAAGCAATACCTGGGGAGGGACTGGGAAAGGACCTGAACTACTTCAGGAATGTAAGCATTCAGCCTATAAGTTGTTATATAGCTCCCTTTCAACTTCTATTGATTTAGAAGTACTTCAGAAATTTAATCATGAGCCAAACCTGTTGTACATCATCTCCTGGCCATTTCCTCCATCTAAACCCTAGTTCAGTTTTGAATTTCCACTCACCCAGGCTTGTTGTGGAGGCTACTCAAGGTCTCCAAATCTAGTTTCACCCTTTAAATGTTTGGCAGAGATGGCTCTTTTCACCAAAGATTTGTAATATTCTATCCTTAGAGACCAGGAGAAGCACCTGGCTCCTGCCATCGGATCGGCGCGGTGTGTTGGCCGCAGCGCGCTGGCCGCGGCGGCCATTGGAGGGTGAACCAACGGCAAAGGAAGACCTTTCTCTCTGTCTCTCTCTCTCACTGTCCACTCTGCCTGTCAAAATAAAAAAATAAATAAATTCTATCCTTAATCAGTTAGCCTATGGTATTGGAGTACACCTGCTTATCAGGATGTAGATTTTTCCACCTTCCTATGCACCCATGTGACTTGTTCTCAACAGTAGCATGGCAGTAGAAGTGAAGGGGGTCTTTTCTGGAGTAAATCCCCTAAGAGGTAGATGGAGCTTCTCCTTAGTCTCTTTTCTCTTTCACTAAATGAATGCATCTGAAGGCACCGAGGCTAGAGGGTTGCAGAACCACATGATGGAAGGAGCTTAGAGCAGCCCTCAGTCATCTCATGAAGAAAATTTACTACCAACAAGAAATGCCTATGTTTGAAAATTGAATTAGGGAAAAATAAAATTCTATTGTGGTAAGCCACTGAAATTTGGGGATTTATTTGTTACAGGTGTTAACATTACCTTAATTAATATATATTTTTTAAAAGATTTATTTATTTGAAAGGCAGAGAGGCATAGAGAGAGAGAGAGCGAGAGAGAGGTCTTCCATCAGCTGGTTTACTCCCCAGATAGCCACAATGGCCAGAGCCACGCCAGTCCGAAGCCAGGAGCTTCTTCTGGTCTCCCACAGCGGTGCAGGGGTCTAAACACTTGAGCCATCTTCTACTGCTTTCCTAGACCATAACGGGGAGCTGGGTTGGAAGTGGAGCAGCTGGAACTCGAACCAGTGCCCATATGGGATGCCAGCACTGCAGGTGGCATCCACTACACCACAGCGCCAGCCCCTCCTATACTGTCAATCCAGCTTCTTGTTAATGTGCCTGGAAAGGCACTGAAAGATGGCCCTAGTATGTGGGGTTCTGCCACCATTATGAAAGATCTGGATGGAGTTCCTGGCTCTTGGCTTAGGCCTAGACCAGCCCCAGCTGTTCCAGGCATTTGGAGAGTGAACCAGATGATGCAGATGCTCTCTCTCTTTGATTTTCAAATAAGTAAATGTTTTTATTTTTAAGGACTATAAATTTGTTTAGAAGGTACAACTAATTCAAGTGAGGGACTCAGGACTCTAAAGGTCCTGTCTGAAATGCTTTAACATGGAATATGAGGAACATATGATGATCTTTTTAAGAGGAAGAAACCATGAATATTTAAAGATTAGAACTAGGAAAGCTATCCTAAAGTAAGACAAAACATGGCTAAAAATTGACCTTTGGAGACGAGTTTCAAACATATATTTAGACCTACTAGATAACAAATTGTTTTGATCTTGAAGACTAAGCTGCATCCATTAATTAAATTATAAATAGGCCTGTCAAAAATAAAAGTAATTATAGAACAAAGCATTTTTATTTCTCATTTGTCTGGTATAACCACCTTTGGAGTATGAAAGCTGAAGTTTTAAACACCAGAATAAAGATATTTCTGGAACGTACAGGCTAAAGTTATAGTTAAAATGGCCCTCTGAAATATGGCAGGGCAGAACACACTTCTTTAAAATGGTCATAATCTTTCATGAAATAAAATAATCAGAAATACAAGGAGGCCAAAAAAATACTTTGTATTCACACAGCTTTATTTATTACAGGAAAAAAATGAAATAGACATGTTATGTAAATTACTCTGTAGTGTATGGCTTAGTGCTTAAGAGAGTGAGCTAGAATCAGACTATTTTGATTGGAGTTCCAGGTTTGTCACTTACAAGTCATATGAATTTGGAGAAGTGACAGCCTTTCAGTGGTGCATCTCGGTTCATCTTTAAAGTGGCGTTAACAAGATTAATTGCGCTGTAGAATTGCCATGAGGATTAAATGATAGTGGAATAGTGGAGACTGGCACACATAAGTATTTAATGAGTCTTTATTGTAATTCACTCTGCAACAATTAAAAATACACTAGAAGAGGGGCCAGCGCTGTGGTGTAGTGGGTTAAGCCTCTGCCTGCGGCACTGGCATCCCATATGGGCACAGGTTCGTGTCCCAGCTGCTCCTCTTCCAATCCAGCTCTCTGCTTGTAGCCTAGAAAAGCAGTGGAAAATGGCCTGAGTGCTTGGGCCCCTGCACCAGCATGGGAGACCCAGAAGAAGCTCCTGGCTCCTGGCTTCGGATGGGTCTAGCTCTGGCTGTTGCGGCCATTTGGGGAGTGAACCAGTGGATGGAAGATCTTTTTCTCTGTCTCTCCCTCTCTCTCTGTAACTCTACCTCTCAAATAAATAAATAAATCTTTAAAAAAATACACTAGAAGAATATCTTAGATAATAGCATACTGCTTGAAACATATTGTTGGGTTAAGAAAGCAGAAAATAGGCCGGCACCGCAGCTCAATAGGGTAATCCTCCGCCTTCGGGGCACCCCGGGTTCTAGTCCCAGTTGGGGCGCTGGATTCTGTCCCGGCTGCTCCTCTTCCAGGCCAGCTCTCTGCTGTGGCCCGGGAAGGCAGTGGAGGATGGCCCAAGTGCTTGGGCCCTGCACCCAATGGGAGACCAGGAGAAGCACCTGGCTCCCGGCTTCGGATCAGCACGGTGTGCCAGCCGCAGCACGCCGGCTGCAGCAGCCATTGGGGAGTGAACCAACGGGAAAAGGAAGATCTTTCTCTCTGGCTCTCTCTCTCACTGTCTACTCTGCCTATTAAAAAAAAAGAGAGAGAGAGAGAGAGAGAGAGCAGAAAACAAAATATTATGCAGAGTAAAAATTTCCTAAATTAAAAGTATGCAGGTGGGTGTTTAGCTTAGCAGTAAAGATGCCTGCGTCACATATCAGAGTACCTGGATTTGATTCTGGCTCCAGTTCCCTTTTTTTTTTTTTTCTTTTAAGATTTATTTTATTTATTTGAAAGCAGAGCAACAGAGACATAGAAAGAGATCTTCCATCTGCTGGTTCACTCCCCAGATGGCCACAATGTTGCCTGGAACCTTGAAGTCCATTTGGGTCTCCCAGATGGCTAGCAGAGTCCCAGGTACTTGGGTCATCTTCTGTTGCTTTCCCAGATATATTAGCAGGGAGCTGGATGGGAAGCAGAGTAGCCAGGACTCACTCTGACATGGGATGCTGGCATCACAGAGGCAGCTCAACCTTCTGTGCCACATAGCAGGGCCCAGGTCCAGCTCCTGACTCTAGTTTCCTGCTAATGTAGACCCCCGTGGCAGCAGTATTTGCTCAAGTAGTTGGGTTCCTGCCACCCACTTGGGAGACCGGGCTCCTGGCTTCAACTGGCCCATCCTGGATGTTGTAGGCATTTGAGGAGTGAACAAGAGCTTGCTCTCTCTGTCTCTAATAAATAAATATATAAATAAATTGTTATAAGTATATATACACATGAATATGCATTATAAATGTTGGAAGAATGGATATAAAATATTATCAGTGATTTTCTCTGTGCAGTGGGATTGTGGTTCTCTTTTAGCTTCATTTGTTCAGTTCTGTCTGTTCAAAAATTTCCTCTAATTAACATCATTTATTTATAATAAGAAAACCAAGAATAAATTATTTTTAAAACTACATTTTAATTAATATATTCTATCTTGGTAAAAGAAAATTATGATGCCTCCCAAAGATTTGGGGTTCAAAAACTTCTGCATTGTGCAATTGAACAATTGTCATCAACAAACTACTTTATTTATGGAGAATTCTGCATCTTTGAATTTTAGAAACTATTTTGAACATCTGAACATTGAGCAGTACTCAGGGACACCTGACATTTTAGTTGGAAGCATTTTTTATTTTTAAGAAAAAACTGTAGATTGGTTTACATAACCCCTTGAATCATTTAATTCAAAGCAAAATAAACTCAAATGTACCAAACAGAAGTTAAATCTAAGTGAGTTAGGTATGCAATGGATTTCTTAATTAATGAATACTGGGCATTGTCAAAACACTAACTGGAGTAAATTTTTTATTTGACTTATTTGGGAGTTTTACTAAGTAAGTTAAAAAATGTGAATTCTATGGTAATAAAATTCTTTTTTATGTGTTACCCTATGGACAAGCATTTGGTATACCAGTTAAGATACTACTTGGGAAATGTTATATAATTTTTTTTTAAGATTTATCTATTCATTTGAAAGGCAGAGTTACAGAGAGGCAGAGGCAGAGAGAGAGAGAGGTCTTCCATCCACCGGTTCAGATGGCCCAGATGGCCACAATGGCCGGAGCTGAGTCGATCCGAAGCCAGGAGCCAGAAGCTTCCTCTTGGTCTCCCATGTGGGTGCAGGGGGTCCAAGGACCTGGACCATCTTTCACTGCTTTCCCAGGCCATAGTAGAGCGCTGGATCAGAAGTGGAGTAGTCGGGACTCAAACCAGTGCCCACAAGGGATGCCGGCACTGCAGGCGGCAGCCTCACCTGCTGTGCCACAGCGCCAGCCCTGACATATTATATAAATTATTGTGTAGTAGTATGTTTTTATGGCCTGGCACTTAAGTGAGTGGGCCAGAATCAGACTATCTGGATTTGAGTCCCAGGTCTGCCACTTATAATCCATATAAGACTGCCTGGGTGCAAGGCCCAGCTTTGCTCCCAACTTCAAATTCCTGCTAATGCCAGCTCCTGGCTTCAGCCCAGCCCCACTTTTGTGGGCATTTGGGAGATCTCCTTCTGTTTCTCTCTTAATTAATATTTTAATTAATATTTAATTAATAATTAATATTTTAATTAAATAATAAATATATATATATGTTTCCCCAATGAGCCAGAAGCATGCATGAGTTTCTTTCTCTTGAAATTTTAAAGACTTTCACATCTGACTCCACATCACTGCAAATTGTGAGGTCTTCTGGGCAAGTGGTTGGGTTCATCCCACTGTAATGGTACACCTCACTATTTATTATTATAAACTAAGTGATTTGTGATGCTTGTGTCTATAGAAATAAATGAGTAACTATTAATTTAAGAGTGAATGAGTAAGATATTGACAAAAGCTGCTTTTCCCTGAACATCCTGTTCAAGTCAATATGCCTTTCACGCATGGGGTTGACACACCCATGTTAATCCACAGGGTGCTTTCAAATGAACACCCACTAAATTTGTTGGAATTAGAGACACAAATTAGAGTTTTTATAATGCCTATTTTCTCCATTGCCAGGAAGATTTGTTCCAAACAATCTTCTGAATTTTAAGTATTTTAAGCTAGGACATTCCTCTTTCTCCAACAAATCACTTTGCCAGATGCAAAGCTTTGGAAAATTTTTAAGCAATGACAAGCAGAATACAGCTGAGAGAAGACACCACCCAGGAAAACAGGTTTAGTACAGGCCTCAAGGATTCACAACTGTTGAAGCCTGGGTGATGGAGCAGGAAAGACAGAGGAAGTTAGGTGACCACCAAGTATGAAAAATCTCTTTTTCTCTTCTGTTTCTTTTGAAAATAATCCATGGGCACCCAAGCAAAACACAGTTCTGGGACCCACTCAGGACGCTTCAAACTTCACAAGCGATACTACCTAGCCTTTCACTATTGTTTGGGAACAGAGCAAATATGAAGCAAACAAAGTGAACTATAAGTTGGTTCAAGGTAAAAACTAAGTTTTTTCTTTTTAAATCTGCCTTGGCTAATGTAATGAAATTTTAAAAGTTTCTAAAAATACAGTAATATGTCATTTGAGGAATCAACATCCAACTAAAACAGTTTATTAAAGTACTAACAGTTTATTACAGACCTAAAAGTTTATTAAAGTGCCACGCACTTCAGTAAGCACCTAGAATTCAGGAGTGAGCACATAGTCCACATCTTGTCTTTAAGGACCTGGAAATAGACAAATGAACAAATTTTGTAACTTCACGTATGATGAGTACTATGAAAATAATTAGAAATTGAAAATGACTATTAGTGACTAAATTTTTGATTTAGGGGACTGTACTATAAAGTATCTGGTGTCTTCTGCCCTTTCATGGGAATCACAACTAGGAGCTGGTCAGGGGATATCCAAATATGCTTTTTGAAGGTTGTGTTAGGATTTTATGACTGCCATAACAAATTACCACAAATTTAGTGGCTTAAAACAGCACAATTATCTTAGTTTCTGTAGGTTAAAAACCCAAGTGGTTTGCTGGGTCCTCTGCTTAGGGTGTCACAAGTCTAAAATCATGGCCATATTTGTTACCAGCAGCTATCGAGAAGAATTCACTTGCAGGCTCCTTCAGGGTGACCGAATGCAGTTTCTTGATGTTTTAGGGCTGCGGTTCCCTTTCCTTGCTGGCTGTTTGAATTCCTTCTCACTCTTTCCATGTGGCCTACTCTAGCAATGGTGAATTAACGTTCCTTCCATGTTTAAAATGGCTTTCCTTTGTTCTCAAGCCCTGACATACCTCTCTGTTTAAAGGTCATATGATTATATAGGGTCAAGGATTATCTCTTTATTTTAAGGGATTTTACTTAAATTTGTAAGTTCCCTTTGGCATGAAACGTATCTTATTCATATATGTTCCAGGGACAAGGAAATAAATATCTTTGGGGAGTCACTCTATGTACCAAATATAAGTGATATTTCAAACAATGGTCTCTATTTACTTGTTGTTAAAGAATCTACACCTAATGACCATGGGCTATTCTTCTACTTCTAGGACATTCACTTGGCCAGGAGATTATATGACATGGCTGCTGAAACAAGTCCAGATGCTCACATTCCTGTGTTCTTTGCCCTCATGAAACTGGAAACGATGCATTTCCTCCGAGACATCCTGTTTTTTAACGTAAGTTTGTCTCGAGTAGGTCCCAAATCTCTGAAAACTCCAGTGAGCAGCACTGAGGCTCAAAATGATGAGACCCAACAGGGGAATCTTTTTGTGAGCTACGTTTCTTTGATAGGTAGAATTCGAAGTCTCAAATTTACCACACAGAGCAATTTTTTTGCTTGTTATATTGATTATGTGTTGATGCTTTGTAATACAACCACCAAGTTCCTTTGACAGATATTCTTTTTAGCGCATACTAGAAGTTTTAAGCAAAGCAACATGTGCTATATATACTTGTTCATAGTTTTTGCCATCAAAATCTGAGACTGGGAAGCAGATGACAGGTGGTAAGTGATATCACAAAGATTTGGAGTTTGAAAAATGTAGAAATTTAACCCATAAATCTTCGGGGTTATTCTAAAGGTTAAGCTCCCTGTGGGAGGTATAAGCAAGTAAAGATCATGTCTTCTAGACTGAGGGAAGCAAGGGGAATGGGGGAGAGGATGTGTGGTTATGGTGGGCTTGAGAGGAGATGATGGATCTGAGGCAAGTGATAGGCTTGGATTTGTTTTTTAACCAAATGTCTCTTACCAGCAGTTCACAATGAAATGGAAATGGATGAAATTGGACAACACCCTCGGACCATACTGGGATTTTTTTGTGATTGGCCTAATTATTGCCATGCTGATCTTCTTGCTTAGAAATCACCACCAGTAGGACCTGGATTGTAGGAAAACCTGCTCCTGGGAACCAGTTTACTGCACACTATCATTGTTAAATAAAAAATTTCCTCATCCAAATCAAAAGTCTGTTGCAGATTTCCCACAATGACCCATGATAGAACATGGACAGGACTTGGAACCCTAGGATGCTAAAGGAACCACTTCAGACTTCCTGCATAGTAGAGGACCACTTAGGGGATACTGCGAAGTGGTCACCTAGACTGGTACAACTTGTTGTCTCATGATCTAGTCCTCAGTTAGAGATAAAGAGCACCAATTTTCATGTTCTTATAACAACCTCTCCCTTTTCAAGAGGACAAGCTGGGTTTCTTGGCTCCTATAGATGAAACTGAAAATTGGGGGAAGGTAGGAATACAGACAGATCCCTGAGAAACATTGCACAAATCAGTTCTGTAGGAATGACCCTGTGAGCTGTAATTTAGCTCTAAGGAGCAACAGTTCTTCATGGCATCCTGGGCCTGGAACGGGAGTGGCAGGCTGACCCAACCTCCTCACCTATGGGCCTCTGTCAAACCCCACCTCCTACTTCAGCCTAAGGAGAAGGGCTATAAGGGAGCCTCTTGGGGAACTTGACCTATGGCTCTTGGAGTTCGGGAGACATAGTGCATTGGGATATTACACACAAACTTGATGAGAAGAGGTGGAGGTTACGGCCTGGGAGAGAGTAATAACAAGAGCAGGAGAAAATAGTCTGCTCTTTGAGGTAGCTGCATGTCTACCAACAATGTCCATTTCCCAAGGACCAGAAAAAGGACATGAGGAAAGGAACTAGCCTAGAATGAATGACCTTGAGAGGAGATAGTGTATTGGCTTTTTATTGCTGCTCTAAAAAATTACCAGTAAATTTGTGGCTTAAGGCAACAAATATTTATTTCTTCTCTTCTCTTGCTATAATAAACTCTTTTCCAAGGCTGATCTGAGAGACAGATTTGGTTTTTACCTCCTGGTCAGCCTCACAATAAAGCTTTCCTTTTCCCAAAAGGAAGGGTCACAGATTAGTCTTTGTACCCATCAGGCCAAGAACCTACCTTGTTCAGTAATAATTTCTTGTAGAAGCTGATACTGTTCATCAACTAGCATTATGATACTGTAATTCTGCTTTCATACTCTGTTAATGGCTATACCATTCTGAAGAAGTAATCTGATTGCCACATGACAAGTCTATAAAACAGAAGAATCCCCTCAGGTCAGTGTTGTGGCACAGTGGATTAAGCCACTGCTTAGGATGTCTGAATCCCACAGTGGAGTGCTGGGATAGAGTTCCACCCCTGCTTCTGATCCAGCTTCCTGCTAATTCACACCCTGAGAGGCAGCAGATGCTGCTTGAGTCCTTGCCACCCACATGGGAGACCCACATGGAGTTCTTGGCTCATGTTTGGGTCTGGCCAGCCCAGCCCTTACTGTTACAGACACTTAGGGAGTGAATTAGTAGACTCCTTCTTTCTCTCTCAGATGTTGTGCTAAAAATAAATTTAAAAAAAATCCCCCCTCCTAGTGTCTGGGAGGATGAGGTACACTAACTCCAGGAAAACACCTGAAACATGGTAGAGTCCCTAATGATGGAGTCTTCTCTCTTCACACAATGCAAGCTCCTGAGATCAAGGCCATGTAGGTCTCATTTTTATTTCCCAGGTTCTTGGCAAACTGCTTGGACACAGTAAGAACTCAGTGCTTTATTTATTGGATTCAAGACTGGGGTATCCAGAACAAAGTCCCTAATTATTGCAGATGTTGTAGGTACTCTGCCCCAATCCCCTCAGGTCTTCTCATTGTTGGCATGCAAAGTTGCTAACTACAAGCACCTGCATCTGTTTCTCCAAGCAGTTTCTCTACTGATTCTACTATTACGTGGCAGATTAGAAGGGCAGAGAACTAATGCCCACCACCTGTAAAGCATTCCTCAACCAATGACTGCTGGGAGTTGTGGATAAATATCCCATTCCCTTGTGCTTTGGGTGGAAAAACTCAGAGGTACATGTTCTACAGTGACCCATGGTTCGAACTTCATTGTCAATCACCCTAGACTAGCTTCTCTCCTACCTGTATTTCTTGAGAGCCCACCAAATAAACTCCTTACAGTCATATCCTTGTCTCATGATCATTTTCTGGGGGAACCTAAACTAAGACAATCACATCACTTAAATTTGAAAAGTATGTGAGGCTTTACGAAGCAAGTCCCTTTCTTTCCCATAGCATCAATCCCTCTTCTGCTTGGTTTCAGATCTTTGTGTAATGGGTAAATTACTCAGCCTAACTCATTATCATTCTAGGTCTGTGTACTTACCAAGTCACAGCTGCCTTGTACTGGTAGGGCTGTCACCTTTAGTTGGTTGGTTTGCTGGGCCCATGCCCCATAGCTATTGTAGGAACACAAGTCTTCCTGCTTTGTTGGCATGAAGATTAATTTAAATTGCTCAGCAGTCATTGTCCTGGTCTGATTTGCTTGCTAGTGTAAAGATAGCAGCTGAATATTGTTACCTTTCTCTATCTATATTAGTATTTAATTTCTTTAGAGACCTTCAGTACATCTGCTGCAGATCAATGTATTCTCTTTGCTAAGTGATGTGGGGAACAATCCAAGGGGGTAGAAAAGCCTGGAATGTCTTGGAGGAATTTTTGGGTAAACCTTACTGAGATTGTTAAAAAAATTTTTTTTTTTTTGGACAGGCAGAGTGGACAGTGAGAGAGAGAGTCAGAGAGAAAGGTCTTCCTTTTGCCGTTGGTTCACCCCCCAAATGGTCGCTGTGGCTGGCGCGTTGCGGCCAGCGTACCGCGCTGATCCAAAGCCAGGAGCCAGGTGCTTTCTCCTGGTCCCCATGCGGGTGCAGGGCCCAAGCACTTGGGCCATCCTCCACTGCCTTCCCCGGGCCACAGCAGAGAGCTGGCCTGGAAGAGGAGCAACCGGGACAGAATCCGGCGCCCCGACCGGGACTAGAACCTGGTGTGCCAGCGCCGCAGGCGGAGGATTAGCCTATTGAGCCGCGGTGCCGGCCAGGATTGTTAAAAATTAAAGTCAAGATAATATTATTCATGGGGGCCACCGCTGTGGCACAGTGGGTTAATGCCCTGGCCTGAAGCGCTGGCATCCCATGTGAGTGCTGGTCTGGTCCCAGCTGCTCCTCTTCAATCCAGCTCTCTGCTGTGGCCTGGGAAGGCAGTACAAGATGGCCCAAAGCCCTTGGGCCCCTGCACCCACGTGGGAAACCTGGAGGAGGCTTCTGGCTCCTGGCTTTGGATCGGCACAGCTCCAGCTGTTGCAGCCGGATGGAAGACTCTCTCTCTCTCTCTCTCTCTCTCTGCCTTTCCTTCTCTGTATAACTCTTTCAGATAAATAAGTAAATCTTTTTTTTAAAAAGAATATTCATAGCCAGAAAACTTGCAAAAGTTTATGGAAAGATGGGACTTTTGGGTTTTTGTTGCTCCCCCTCTTTGTGGAGGAACGACACAGGATTCCGCGTTGTTCTTTCGTCTGCTCGGCCCTCCCCGGGTTTGCTGCTGGTTCTTCCCGGGTTGGCTACCGTCCCTCCACCTCCGTGGAAGGGCGGTTCCCCCTGCCACATTCCCCACTTCCGCGGGGGAGCGGCACACCGCCGGCCGGCCGGCTCTCTCGGGGGCTGTACAGGTGTTCCCCTTAGATGTTCCTGGTGCATGCCGTCTCTCTCCTCCTTTATAGTCCTCTTCCACCAATCCCAACTCTGCTACCCACACGCCGAGTACGCTGCTCTCCTCCAATCAAGAGCAGATCCCACAGTTTATTGGTTGAACTGGAGGCAGCTGTGTAGAAGCTGTTTCCCTTCTCAGCGCCATATTGTGGGAAAGCAGATGCATAGAATAAGTCTTAATTCCAGTAACTTAGTCTAGTCCGAGTTGCTCCCAGTTGCTCCCCACAGGTTTTCTAATCATATATTTTAAAGTAGGAAAACACAATATAAAATACAATTTAAAAACTTTATTTATTAAAGATTTATTTATTTATTTGAGTTACACAGAGAGAAGGAGAGACAGAGAGAGAGAGAGAGGTCTTCCATCCGCTGCTTCACTCCTGAAATGGTTGCAATGGCTGGAGCTGAGCCAATCTGAATCCAGGAGCCAGGAGTTTCTTCCAAGTTTCCCACCGGATGGCCCAAGGACATGGGCCATCTTCCACTGCTTTCCCAGGCCATAGCAGAAAGCTGTATCAGAAGTGGAGCAGCAGGGACTCAAACTGGCGCCCATATGGGATGCCGACACTGCACTATGCCACAGCACTGGCCCCAAATTTAAAAACTTTAAAGCCATTAGTTTTCCAGGCCACAAGTCTCCAATCAGTGACCTTTAGAACCTTACCTGAATAGTGGGGTGGTTTGGGAAGGTTTTCCCTGTATTACACTACTGAGCCTGGTATTTCCCAATTCTAACGAAATAGGAAGGCAACTTTGATATTAGAAATCCAATCTTGGAAAGAGAAGATGCTCTTTTTGCATAATAATATGTAGGAGACTAATTGGTAGAAGAGTGACCTATCATGATGCAAGAGAAGTCTGATGATTTGTTTGTACTTTCCAATCCAGAGCCCAGTCCACGAGAGCTGTTTTTCCCACTGCCCAATCCAAGTATGGACAATTCCCTGTTTTCCTGCATCCAGCAGCTGAACTATAGGGTTGAGAATGGTACACACACACACACACACACACTACAACTTTTTGGGGGAAAATATTGTTAAAAGTCATGTTACAAACCTTCATAAAGAAAATCTGATCAGCATGAAACCCCTGAAAGACATCATTAATCTTGCCATGCGATTCACTTACATCTCAGAATGGAATGCATTGTGACTAATCAATACTATTGACCAGTACTATTCTGAATGTTCTCTGAGCTGCACTCACTTTCCACACTATCTGATGTTCTCATTCTTTCTCTTCCTGCCACTCACTTTTATGTGCCCCCAAGGATAGCTCCCTGGTCCAGATGGACAGTGTTTGTAACAAATACCATCAGTGCGCTACCTATGTGCCCTCCGCACAGTTCTAAGGTCCCTGGCATCTTCTGGGGACATTTTCCTTGCTGTCCTTGGCTTCCTGTCTCAAGCCCTGCATTCCTCTGCCTGAAGATGTACTCTAGCTGCAGGAGCACTGTTGGTGACAAGAAAAACAGATCAGAAGTACTAAG